GAAAGCAATAATCTTAAACTTTAATCACGCAGCAGATACTTAAAGTTTTATTTCACAGAGCCTGAACAAGGTGAAATCAAAAGTTATATTCAGAACTTTAAACAATCAGTACTTTCACTTACCGCAAATTATAGTTTTCAGCTACAAGAGTAGTAAGGATGATTATAGAAATAATACTGTTAACAGAAAAAACACATGGGCTTGCTGTTTAACACAAGAATTTATTCTGTGCATCTTACTTGTATGTATTTTGTGCATTTGTGTTTTCTCCTTCCCGTACACCTTAAGCTTCAGAAGTAGATACACTCAAGTTTTCCCATTAGATTTTCCCATTGTCCTCTTTTTTACATTAGAAAAATAACTGAAGTGTTACAGAGCAGTGAGCCAAACTGAGGTTGATTTTTTCCCCCCCATCTTGTTCCTCCAAAGCCATAACAATCACCATTTTCTCCTTTTATTGTCCTCCTTGACCTTCCAAAGGATTAGTTCCATACAAGCAATTGCATCTTCCCTGGAATTATGACCACCAACTAGAGGAGAACAAAAAAAAAATTTAGAAGTGTTAGATTATGTATTTCTTTATAAAAGAATGGTAGCTTTGTTTATTAAGCTGAACAACCGTCAAGAACATTAAGACAATACTTGGTATTCAGACAGTTTTTGGTGCAACTTCTTGCTACCAGGATTCAAGGTAATAACCACATGCTTCTAGCAGTCCAGTATTGTCTGGCAATATTCAGCTTCCCACCACATCCTCCAGCTTCAATACCCAGTGGAGCCTGGATTAGTAACCTAGAGTATCCAACACAACTGTCTTTGGAAAACCAGCCTCTCCAAGTCATGTGCCTTCAAATCAGAACTTGAAAGAGCAACAGATGACAAGTTGATTTTGCAACTAGATGGTAAATTTCTACCTTGGTTAATTAAGGACAATCTACTTGTCCTGATCTATGGAAATGCTCCACAAAATCTGAACAGAATGGAGTTAAAGGATTTAAATTATATACAGTTATACACGTCTATTAAGTGTTTAGTCAAAGCTTAAAAAGTCAACAACTTACAAGTTTACACCTGTTTTATACTATTCCCACAACTACAAGAAGTACAGTAGAAAGGTTTTAATGCATTCTGGCTGGAAAATAGTGGTAGTCATCCAAACAAGAAAGGCATGCAATCCTCTCATTAGTTGGCACTTAACACAGGCATCAGAATACCCCTCCTAACACTGAGTCAACACAAGAAAAAGCTGGCTGCCAGGTTAATGGTAGTAGTTAACTACTGAATGGTCTGAGCACTCCTTACTGAAAGCAAAAGCTGCATGTTGGGGCTCTCCCAGTAACTTTAGGAATGGTGGAAAACAGACCTACTATATTCAGCCATCATCTTCATAAATGGAAATTTAACACAGTGTCAAACTGTCACATTGACTAATTTGAATATGTGTCCCTCAGTAAATCCTACATGAGCTGATCAAAGGAAATCTAAATCCTGTATGGTTTAAGTTATGTTAAACAAAGATACCATTTTGAGTATAGAAGTTTTAATAAAGGTACAGAAGATCTCAGATAAACAGGTTTGGGATAGAGGCTGGTTATTCAGAAACCAAAAAAGTTGTTGAAGAAAAGTCTGACAGCACAGAGGTCAGCATTTCCATTTGAAGGTGGCAAAATCCCCTCCCCATTCTATGTTTCTAAGCTAGTGGCTCAAAAAGAAAAAGGTATTGCTTCTTTGCCCTATAGCACTGCATTACTGCACAGATTCCATATCTACTGACTCCGCAACTGCTTTGGGCAGGGGAGAACAAAACAATATAGTTAAGTTGATACTAGGGAGAAAAATAACTTTCTTAGATTTGAGATGTTCCGTTCCCCAAAGACGCAGAGGACTTAAGTGCTATCACAACAAAAGTTGACTCAACAGTAAAAGTATGAGCTTCTAGCTTTCTCTTATAAAACTTAAATGGCAGTGATTTGAGATAATTTTTCATATGTAGCAGCCTAGACTCAGAAGCAAAGACCTTCAGACATTTACAGACATGTAGTTGCAATTCAGGTATCTACTGGCTTAAAGCAGTGTAGTATCTCCTTGAGTGTGGAAGTGGTTATACTTCCCTCTCAGTGAACAGTAATTTACATAGTCATGGTAATCATCTGCAACAACATCAGTGTGTTACGTGAATGCTTTCACCAGCATATTTTATAAGAACCATCACTGCAATATCTATTTAGATAGGACATATAAAGAGCTGTGGAAGCTAATGGAGGAGAGTCATAGCTTTTATCTGTGGCAGAGAAGTTTATACTACTTAGTAATCTCTACTATTCACAGAATCAGAAGACAGCTGGCAATAACTTTGCAGGTTCTATTTTTTTTCACTCCTAAATGTACCTTAAGAAATAGAACAGAACAGTTGCCAATAATCAAATAGAAACTATTTTGTCATTTGGATAAGAAAACAGAGGTGATCCAGTGAGCTTCCCCTCCGCCCTTACTATCTTTTGTCAGAGAAAGTTCCAATTCTCATTTGCTTTCCAACCCCTGAAGTAGTGCTCTGCCTTGCCATTCCACCCTTCTGCTGCTGCTATTTTTAACTGCTCAAGAAAGTACAAGCTGTATGAGACATGTTTTTTAAGTAGTCTGAAAAGGCTCAGTTATTAGAAACCATAGTCTTCCAGCTCTGTTACGTATTCTTCCATTTTTCAGCAAAACCAAGTATATGATATACTTCAAGTCAAGCTACCTCAGCAGTTGCAGCTTTTGTACCTTGGACACCAAAAGTCCTGGAGTTGAGACCCTTTCAAATGCACTCCTAGTCAAACTCCAGTTTGAGATGCTCAAAAAAAAGGCAAACAGTCAATTAAATTCAGAGCAAGTTAAAACACCACAGACCTACTGCTTTCTGATAGCAAAGGGCATTTCATTCTACTAATCCCTAGGTTTACAAAAAAAGCAAATCCAGACTTGAAGTTTATTACCTTTCTCTTGTACTAACACAAAACTAACACAAACTAGCACAAAGCAGCAGCACAAACCAATATAAACATAGGGAGTGGAAGTCATGCATCAGAATTTTTTTTTCATTTTTTCTAGAAATGGCAGCTACTTAGGTCTATAGGTTAAGCTTGGATTTTAGCTCAGTGGTGATCAACAAAGAATTATTAAATCCAAACTTAAGCAGAAGAGTCTGCTAAAGGCAGAGTCTTGGCTATCTGAGATAGCCCTCTTAAAGTCTGTAGAAATAACTTTTGACATTCCCCTTACCCCCACCACAGTGATGTGCATCAGACTGTCAGAGCAAAGGAAGTCAGAGGATATTGTAAGTTTCGAGATGCAGCATCCAGCTACTCCAGTGGGTATCAAAGTCCATCAAGTTTTGCTCAGTGCGACCATTTATGTATTCCCTGGGCAATGAAGATATGTTAGCATAACAGAATATTATTTGTTGCCCAGAAGGCTTCACTGATAAAAGCAAATATGAATCTGCCAGTTCATTAGACACTCAATTTAATTTGTTCTAAGATCAGATTAAAAACAATTATTTAGAATTATATGGTCAATGCAAAGTATATCTGTCAAATGCAACGTTTCACAAGTATTATATGCCCACTGTAGAACAGATTTATTGATTTGTCTTTAACAGCCAGCCAAGAAATTTACTATAATTTTACTACTGAAGATCCCAGCTGAAGAGCTCCTGTATCAGCTTGGATAAGCAACTGAACCTTGAAACAGATGTTAGCCTTACCACACTACCTTCAGAATTTTAAGAATGCCCCTTCTACAAGGGAAAGAAACCGGAACACTTTTGTATGGTGAACACTTTGACAAGCCAGCTGTACTGGGGGGAATGAGTGAGCAGCTGTGTGATGCTTAGTTGCCATCCAGGGTTAAACTACAACACCAACCACGTTCCCCTTCAGGTATATCCTCTGCATTTACTACACTATTGAAGTAAAGGTATCCAAGACAAAGTTTTAAATGAAAGCAAGAGAATTACTACCTTTTCAGTTTTCTGGGTTATTCTTGTCTCCCATTTCATGATGCAATATACCAATTGCTTAATAAGAACCTGCGCTCTTACCATCATCTTGACAAATTCTCCTGAGGTAGTCAGCCATCAGACTTCTAAGTGCTCTTTTGTGAGGCAAACCTAGCCGATGAGGAAACACTATTGATGTATCCACTACTGTGTCATGAATTAGCTGGAAAAGAGCAGAGGCCACAGTAATGATTACACATCCAGTTACAGTCCTGCACCTCCTTTATTTATTAAAGAAATCTCATCTAGCATCTAAACCATTTCCTTTCTCAATAATATGCCCAAACGAATCCTTGAGCCCCAAATACTATGTCATCTGTCCTGTGCTCCTCTATTCATTATAGAATGGCAAACTGTGGGGCAAGAACTGTGGAAAAATTGTGCTTCAAAGTGATTTCTGTACACTGCATTGATGTTTATCCACTAGTTGTATATATATAGCGAACATGATTAATTCTGGTTTTAGATAGCCAATATCATACTGCAAAGTCTCATTTGTTTTGGCCTTTAGATATCACTAGCAGGGAAGCCTATCAAGGCTAAATTGTAACTGCTTCATTAGTAATAATCACAGAACGGTTGAGGTTGGAAGGGACCTCTGGAATTCATCTTGTCCAAACCCCCTGCTCAAGCAGGGCCACCTAGAGCCAGTTGCCCAGAAACATGTCCAGGTGGCTTCTGAACATCTCCAAGGATGGAGACTCTACAACCTCTCTGGACAACCTGTGACAGTGCTTGGTCACTGTCACAGTGAAAAAGTGTTTCCTGACGTTCAGAGGGAGCCTCCTGTGTTTCAGTGTGTGCTCACTGCCTCTTGTCCTGCCACTGGGCACCACTGAAAAGAGCCTGGCTCAGTCTTGTTCATACCCACCCTTCAGGTATTTACACACATTGATAAGATACCCCTGAGCCTTCCTGAACAGATGGTTATGTTTCTTATGGAATATAGCTGCCTTTGATATTTAATAGCATAATCCATGCATTTCTGGCACCTAAGGTAGTTACCCGACAGGCAGCATAATTGTTTACAGAGATTCTAGGAGCAATACCTTAGCATTACTTGAATTGTCCCTGCCTTTTATGGATCTGCTGGCATGAGTTCAGCAAGACCAGAAAACATAAAATTCTAGGTTTCTGTGAACCCAGAAATAAAGACAATATTATTCAGTGGTGATGTATGGTTGCATAGCTAGAAGCACAAAACAGCAAAGTAGGAAGCCCAAATGTCAGAATCTTTACCATACTGTGTTTGTATACACATCTCTTCCTTCTCTGAATGTAGTATTAACTTTAATACAGCTATCATTTAACCATCAAGTACATTTCATTCTTTTTTCCATACATGTTGATCTGCTGAAAAGCAACATTTTTTTCCTTTTTGAAATCAGTTAAAACACAGTAAAGACAAGTAATCACCTCTTAAAATTGGCTTCAAACAGGTTATTTTACCTTGAGAGCAAATAAGTCATTTTCTAAGCTGTGTCCAATTAAAATTGTATCTGCACTGAACAAGCTTAGCAGTATTGCCTGTACATCCCGAAGAGATTTTGTGGTGTTCTTCAGATCATCCTCTGTTGCTCCAGAGAGTCTAAAGACAGATTTAGAAGAGCTTCATTAACAGAGACACTAAGAGATATCTAGAAGAACTAGGTTCACAGCGGTCATTCCCCCAGCATCTCAAGTTAACACTAGCCAGCTTTGAAATCACACAACATTGAAGTCAACATAAGGCAGTTTTTCATTCTCTTCCTTTTCAACTAGGTAGTGCAAGATAAACTAAGCTAGGTGATATTAACTTAGCTCTACCACTACAAGCTACTGAGCCTGTTTTTTAAGCACGGACCAAAGACAGGGCTCTGAGCAAACAAATATAGCTGTTGAAGTAGGAACACATCGTGTTGGTTCTCCTCTAACTTTTTTTACAGTGAGGCTCAAAACCTGTGTTTCTTTTCAGAGCAGCCGCAGGACTTAAAAAAACTAATAGGAATTGAAAACATGTCTTCCAGGTCTCAAAGATGAACCCAACAGGAAGACCAAATACAAGTGATCTGCACTAAGTACAGTCAAATCTTTTTAAGCTGTACAGTCTGATGGCCTCAATGCACTGCTAATGACTATGCTGCTTTTCCGTGAGACAACATTTATAGATGAAATTTGCATTTGCTTCTATCCCTTTAGGGAATTTAGCAAGTTCTGGGAGATTTAACTTCTTTTTGTTTTTTAAGGAAGAGAAGAAAAAGTCCTCAAATGTGGAAAAAAAAAATTGAACTAGGCAAAGAGAAAAGTCCTTCTTAACTGAGCTTGTAAGAACAAAGGCCTCATTCCTGATTGAAGGTCTTTGATTTATGTTACTAGAAACAGACATTTAAGAGGCATGTTTCTTCTTATATGGTTATCTGCCAATTTATTAAGTCTAATCCTGAAGTACTATAGACTAATTAGCATACCTTATATCGTAGTCTACAACTTTACCATCTGGTTTAACAAACGTATCATAGACAACCTGTAGCTTAGCATCGACCACTGTCACTCTAGTTAGTTCCAAGCCATGGGTTGTGTAACACTGAAGAAAAAAGTAAATTTAATGAGCATTTACACAGCAATGATGTTTCCTTACATTATGTAAGTTGTACAGAAAGCAGAACTGGCTACCAACTCAGATCCAAACGATCTTGCCCACTGCATATTCAACACTAAAGGTCTAGTCATGTAGAGTGACTAGTCAGACCAAAGGTCTAGTCATGTATAGTTCTGCAGACCTCTTGGAGACGTGAGTTCCAAACTACTACAGCTAGGAAATTGCTTCATAAACAGCCATATAGTTTTCTATCAACTGAACCAAACTTTTTAGGTTGCTCATACCCTCTCGCAGTCCAGAGCATAGACACCATAGTTTCCATCAAAAGGCGGTGATTTAATTAATGTCTTCATGAAGCCTTCCAATTTCTCCCTTCTTCCATCATGAACATGAAGCTGCAAAGTTTCCATTAGTATTTAAGTGCAAGTTTGCTAGATATCTTACCCAAATTGCCAGACAACTTGTTTCTCTAACAGACTCAGGAGCATATATATATATAAAAAATACTTCTTGTCAATATTTGCCACGTAATTTACTAAATGCTAGTAAGTAAACCTAAAAGGCTTATACCAAACTATTCACAGAAAGCTATGACCCAGCTTTAAGTCAAAAGGACACAGACAGCAAAACTGAGATACTGCATTATATAAGCCTTCTGAGAACATTATTCCTACCTTTGCAGTCTGACATCCAGCAGACCCAACTATTCTCTCACAACAGCTATAGCGTTTTTCCATGCCACCAGGAACTGCCAAAAAGAAAGGTTGAAAACTGAGCAGTTTTTTTCAGCAACTAGCAATGGCAAAAACAAATCAGTACCCTCACTCCTCCTCTCAAATTTCTTTTCCATTTTCTCCTGAGACTGCACTATGGGAAGAAGCAAGTCCCACCTACAGGTCTCACCTATGCCAGTATGACAAACTGTACATCGTTCCCTCCTGAGACAAGGTGTTCATCAAAAACCAGAAATACCAATGAATGGGAGAGAGAAAGTTGTAGAATGCTCTAGAAGGTTCTTCCTGAGGGAAATATTTAATGTAGCTTCTGAGTATTTAAGGTGTCTCTTAGAAAAGATGACAAGGTTCACTTAGAAGTCAGTGCAAGGCTGCACAGTGAACATTTTTCTACCTTCTTCCCATACAGTTCTGTTAACATCAGCTTTCCTAAAGTTATGGCATATTCAGAGAAAACAGGCTTTACTAACTAGCCACATTCCCAAAAGTACAGCAGAATGTATCTCAGCTGAACCTTGTGCAAAAAAAGTTTCATATACTCTGATCTTGTTGAGTTTTGACATGAGATGTTATAACTTTTAACAGCTTCCACAAAAATTGAATGCCAAGGATACCTACCTTTTTGTTCCAGTACTCTACCAGAATGATAGTTACATTCTTCTTTACGTCTATGTTCTCCTGAAGAAGTAACAGCATATACTTCGCCACACCTACAGCACACTTTTTTGAAAGCTAAAAAAATGGTAACAGAGCATATTTTCTAGCTGGCTTGCCATAAAGTTAAAAAATACTGAACTGAAGTATAAAAAGAAGTTACATGAACAGCAACTGCGAGAGCAGAGTATCAGTACATAAGCAGCCTCCCAAGATTAGCCATGTATAAAAAAACCAACCAAGTTCCTCTATAGCACAATAGGAAATTCAAGTTTACCTGCAACTTCTTCAATTACTATGTTGAAACAAAAATTTAAAAAGACCTATGAAGTTTCATGGTTCAGTTATGAAAGCTTGTGAATTCACTTGTAGACCAGGCACTAAATATGGAACACTGCCATAACACATAATTTTATACCCGTGTATTTTACCATCCTGTGAACCACTGACTGAAATACAATTTTGTTGCAGTCTAGTAGGCACTTACCATCATATCCAGCATTTTTTACAACCCCAGTAAGTATAGCACTACCATTTTTTTCAGGATTTGGTCGAGGGAAGTTATTTTCATTCAATTGTTCCTCAGTCAGAAGATAATCTTTTAAAAGTTCATATAGAGCACGACCTGTAAATACTAAAAAAAAAACACCGCAACCCAAACAGACAAAATCCTAAAAGTAAACACACCCAAAGCTTAAGCAATATTTGAACAAATGTAAGTAGCACTTAAATATCCTACTACTTCCAAAATAAAACAAAACTGAAATTACAAGATATGCACTATAGTTTACATGCAAAAATTATATGCTTGTACCTCAGAGCCATTAGAAGTAATTAGAGGTGAAGAATTATTCAAAACAAAGACACTAAACAATAGGGATGTTAATTCACTAGCTATCCCAGAAAGGCTAGGCATGCAATACCTAAGAACATGCTCTTTTCAATCAAAAGTTCAACATTTTTTCCCTGAGAATGAGCCTTCAGATATAAATAGGGAATTGTGTTGGAAATCCTTGCAGTGGCTAATAGATAAAGCTTGACTAAAAACAGAGCAACATTTTTGTGCTGAAATAAGCCCATTTATAGGCTAAAGTGGAGAACTGACATTTCCCTTCCCCTTTCTTTACCTTTCTCTTCCTCTGACTTTATGGAACCAGTGCCACTAGAAGATCTGCTGTTACTAAGTCGCCCTGAATGCGGGAAAACATATTTTTATCATTTCTTTCAATTTCATATTTCCTGTTAATATCCTAAGCAAATATTTATAAATGAAATCACCTATTTATTTCAGTGTTATATTTCTACAACACGATTTAAATATGCAGGAAAATCTTTAGTAAACTTAAACTAAATAATCCTTTTAACACATTTCTCTGCTGTTCTCATTTCTACACTTACAACACATTTAAAAAAAAATCTTCATTGAAGGCAAAACTACCATGATCTCTCAGCTTTTTGAGAGTCTTCACAGCACAATTCAGGTACATTTTTTTACTGCCACAGCGATCATAAACAGATTGCTCTTCTATCCGGGCCTGTATTTAAAAAAAAGAGACTGAGTGTTATTGGAGTACTGTATGTTCTACAGAAAGCACTACTACTTAGAATCTGAGATTCTGAACCTAGAAGTAGATACACATGCAAGTAGTCTCCTAAATCTGAAGCGCAACAGGAGACCCAAAGTCAGATGGATGAGACACCTAGAAAGACAAATTCAGTACTTATGAAGCAAAGAAAAGTGTGGGGGAAATCAGTGCCCCAACTCAGAATTTAAATCTAACCCTTGTGGGAATTTGAACATTCTTAGGGTAACCATTCCTGTGGCTACAGACAGCTTCTTCTGATCCTGCTTCAAAGGAGGCATTATTACTTTTTTAGGTCAAGAAATGTTTCCTTAATTTTCTTTCTGTAAAGTCATAAGAAACAGAAGTGAAAGGAAGGTCCAGCACCTTTTAACTATGAAGAAGCACGCTCTAAATAAGGAGTATGTTCATTCATCTTCTGGGGGAAGAAAAATGCTTCTTCCCAGGTTTTATTTCACTGTTTACACTATCTGCATAGTCAACAAGAGAAGCTCATTTCAGGCATAAACAGTGCCTTCTAACAATCACTACAGCAAGTACAATTCACAAGTTACAACCTCTAAGCAGAGGAAAAGAGAAAGTGGAGAACCAATGAAGCTGAGAAATAACACAGGAGGAAGCTAAAGAAATATTACTTAGTGAGAATGAAGAGTCAGGCATACCAAGGTATGCTGCACAATATAGAGAAGACACTGTAAATGACGTAGTAGTAATATCTGATGTTTTATAAGCTTTCATTCAATGTATAACTAAATACACATACAGAGTCTTATCAGGACACCTCCATGAAGTCTTTTGATTTCCAGCATGCGAGAAATTTAGATTAGGTTAAGCTTGGGATATTTGTGCCTGTCAGATGATCTGTTGGCTATAAGCTTGAGTAGCACTTGGTGTGGTGGAAACAGTAAATACAAGATCAAAGCCTCAAAATGATGGAGAGATTTATGGTTGTTCTTCAGATATATTTTCCTCCTGTCCTGAATATATCTCAAAGTCATTATTACATTCCAGAAAGCCTCCAGTATTCACAAGAAGATTTTTATTTTGCATTTGCAAAAGAAAAACTTTTCCTTTTTAATACTAAAATAACATGTCTTTTTGGAAGCTAATTAGCAGTGCTAAAGACAAATGCTTTTACTTGGAGAAAACTGAAACTGACAACACTGGCAAGTATAAGACCGAGTACATTTTAACTTCTGCTTACTGAAAAGTCCAAAATATTTGCCTTAAAAAAAAATCAAATAAAAAATCCCACCAACATATTGTGCAAGGTAAGACCTACTGACTTGATTCAGAAGAGGAACTGTAAAGATCTATAAAACATTACAAACCTTGTCAATAGCTTCATCCACTGTGCTACAAATTTTGAAGCATTCTGCAAAAAAAAACTTAACATATTGCTGTCTTGTCTCAAGTGGTACTTTGGATCCTGATTCTGGAATGGAAAGCCTTTTCTGAGTAGAAACCTTAAAAAAAAACAAACAAAAAAAAGAACTCCATACCAATGTGGTCAATATGTAACAAATAGCCCAAAGAACTAAAACCAGTTCAGACATTCTTTTGCCCATCCTTGGAGGGGAGGAAAAAAAACCCCAAAAACCCAAAAAACAACCAACCCCAAACATTGCTGAATAGCTATTCAGAAAACTGGAGTTGCACGACAGGGAGCCAGAAACAACCATCACAAATAGTAGCTATAGAGGTTTTTCCTGCTTGAACTAAACAAAGTAGTCTTCTGCTCAAAGTTACGTGAGGTATTAAAACTATTTTTTAATTTCTTTTTTCTCAGAGAAAGTTCAATCCGTCAGCAAGCTCTAGCAGTTCAGTTATGATTTAAGTCATGCTCTCCATTCGGCCTGTATTTCAGGCAGTACTTCACTCAGAGCGTAAACTAAGGACCCAATGAACTGGACTGAAAAAAAAGGAGTTTATTTTTAGGAACCTATAGCCTTTGTTAGACAATGGAATGTGATAAGCAAAAACTCTACAATATGCTTATTTTAACATTAAGCACATAAGTTAAAATCATCACATTCAAAAATCTAGCAGTAAGTTAGGTTAACCATGGTACCCTCACACCCAAAAAGATGCAAACAGTTACAAAGATGCATTGTGTGTATCGAACAAGGAGTAGTATGTCTATACCACATTCACTCGCTAAGGAAGATTCCTTAAAAGCAGCATTTAAATGTATGTGCTACTACCGAGGAGAAGGTAATTCTTGCATAAAGGGAACAAAGGCAATGTGTATCATTGTCACAGCCTAGTCTCACCATTATTGGGGCTTGCAGTATTCTATTCAGGAAACAAGAAGGTACATACTGGAGATATGAAGCACGAAGTAATCAGTACTTAATATCCTAGAAAAATGTCAGTAGCCGAACTAACTGAAGCGATAGCAATTGACATTTTTAATTAGAAAGCAAAACTCTGATCTTGTAATTTATCTAACCCCAGGAATCTTCAGTGACCTCTGCTTTAAAAAAAGAAAAGCAGGGTTAGAGTAATTTTTCTGAGAAGAGAACCTTACAATACTCTGCCACTCAAAATTACAAACTAAAGTTGGCACTAACAAACCAAAATATGCCTGCATTAACTTTTTGACAAGTTTCTTGAAAGCCCTTTAATTTATAAGGGTACCTCTCTTGAAGCCAAATAAAGCCTTTCATCAGATATCATCTGCCACTATACATGGCAGGGAGTTTTAAGGGAAAATAACCAACACGCAAGCATGACTTGACTGAAAACAAGCTAGTACTTAATTCTCCCATCACAACCACTTTGATAAGCAATTAAATATATAAATTGTTAATGTTTGCGTAGTGCTGGCTAGTACAACCAAGGAAAATGAAAATACAACTTGCATAGCAACTTGATTAAAGCACACAGGAAACAAAGTAATTTTTTTAAAAAGCTATACTGGTATATCACATTACTGGGTCTACATTACAAAATACTGTTTGAAATTAATTGAAGTTTTTCCACTTCTGTTCCCATTCATATATCCAAGTTCTGCAGCAGTAACTCTACAGTACCTTGCATGGCACAAGAGTAGTCCTTTTGAATGAACTAACACAGAGTCCACAGGGCATTGCTGCTGCAACATTTCCTTCCAGTAGTATATGCAGTTGACCACTGCTGGTTTCAATGGGCTGAACTTCAAGCAAATTTAAAGAGACTGAAACACACAGAAGATACAGACTGAATCTAAACTCTAACGTTAAGCTTTTAAATTACATTAATCTGGAACACAGATATTTCACAGCTCCTTTGTTAAAGCAAGGTAGAAGTAAACTAATACACGGAAGTAAACCTGGAACGTCGGGAAACACATTAAGGCTTCACTTCTGCCAAGAGATTTTATGCAAAGTGTTCTCCAGTATTTTTGAGATCATTTATCTGTTTGAAGACATTAGAGTAAAGCAGCTACACAAATCAAGTTAAAAGCTATTTGCAAGTTGTAATGACTATGATTTTTAAACACCTACTTGCCTGCCTTCCCTGTCCCTTTGCCCTCCCCTGCAAAAAAAGCATGATAGCAAGGAAAAAAAAAACCAAACCATGAAAACCACCATTCTAACCTCATCTTGCAATGCAATCAGTAAATGCCTTGAAGTATTGCTTTGCCTTTTAAAGTCAGAAAAGCTACAGATCTCAGAAATAAAAATTTGTCATGAGATTCTGGAGCCAAGATATCAGCATTTGACTTGCAGTCATCCTGCTTAACTTCACTTGCATCAGCACCTATTATACAGCAAGACACGTTTGTACACCATGAGATACACTAATCCATTTTACTGTTATTCAGAAAGAATGCACACAGCAGCAGAATGACTCAATTTCATGTGAAGATGTTTTACAGCATGTGTAATAAAGACACATGAATGATACTACAAAGCAGTATTTTACTAATTTAATTGCTACTTTATAAGCAAATATTTAAAGTACAGCAGAAGAATTGGAGGGGAAACTGTTTAACTAGTATCAAATGCTGAAAATAACTTCTGCTCCAGGATTTTTCACATATGAAGGAGAATTCAAAGGGAGAAGAACATACGATTTTCAAATCACAAGATTTAACAAATCGTTTCAGAAGGTCTGAATGCTTCAGACTAGAAACCTAACAGTTGATATCAGTACTAAACAGAAACTCACCAGATTTCTTTTTTTATTCTTTCAGTTTGTGTATCAAAAGACTTTCAACAAAACAAATGTTTTTCAGGATTTTGGTCAAAATTTTACACTTTCAAAGAACTTAGCACAAAGTACTTGTCCCCTTTCCACTACAGCTACCAAAACTTCAGATATAACCTTGTAGTTGGATAGGGCATCTATCTTAGCACAAGCTAAGTGCTCACCATCATTCAACTCACAGCTAATATTCACCACAACAAAATGAACACATTCAAGCAACGCCTAACTGAAGTTAAACGAAGTTTAGTTTGTCAAACCTACAGATCAAGCTGTCATACCCAGTGGTCCATGGCTTTGAAACTGAGTAGCTGACAATCCAGACATAGTTTTCTTCTGTTCAGAAGTTGTAGCAATAAAATCTTGTCCCTTTTTAACTGCAGCTTCAAACTCCACTGCCACCCACTGTGCCTGCTGAATTCCTGCATCATGACCCTGCTGCCAAGGAGATGCTTTGAAAGGTACCATTTCATTTTTGTTATGTACCTGATATGCACATACACAAAACCAAAGTTAACATTCAAGCAGTTCCAAATCACACCAAGACGGTGTTAAAGTTAACACACTGCTTCTTAAAATTGAACTTTGCTATCAGATTCAGAGCTCTGCATGCTGTCCCTGGAAGGAAAAAGCCAAGCTGAAAGAGCTCAGGGGTGGTGGAGGGGGCTTAAAGAATTATGCCTGCTATTAACATTGCCACCTAAAATACTGTAAAAGTAGAGAAAGCAACAGCCACTTCGGGTTTCCAAGTGCTGTATCTGTATTCTCATGGTACAAGCCTCCACTCCAAACTGACTTTTCAATACTTATTAGCCTCAGCTGCCCTGAGCAGCAGCTTACTTCACCTGTGACAGGAACCAACTTTAAGTACTACGAAATTTGCTACAACTTTTAACAGAAGAGCTGATGAGACATTTGTTCTAATTAATTTCAAAATATTTTTACAATTAGATTACAACACTCAGCCAACCTGAAGTTCAACATGAGTCTACAGATATGAAGTAAAGCTATGTTGACCTCCCGTTTATTATAAGATTATAACTCACATCAAATTTTGCCGTGTGTGCAATTCTTCTCTTTTGTCCAGGAACATTTACTTTGGTTTCTAATAAATCGAGATCTGCATTTCCTCCATGGGCCTATTAAAAACAAGAACAGACTGTTTAGACGAACTGTTATGAAGCTCTAGACTTCAGTAATATCCTCAGAACCCATTCACTCCAATGTTTCAGGATATTCAGTCAAAAAACTCACCAGGAAAATTACAATTCCATCAGTATTAGACAGTTATTTTACATTCAGAACAGTTAATTCGCAGTGCTTTGAAGCTGAGGCAGTGGTACTCAAAGTTCCTACATCTGTTTATAAGAAGAACAGGAGACTACTGAATACACAACTGCCTCTAAAACTTTGCTTATTACAGTAAAAGTAAAAATGGCTACCCCAAGGCAGGGATCTATTCAGAGCAATTTTCTACTTCAGGAAACATACAGATCGCCCATTGTCAAACTAAACTAGAGAGTCATAAGTGTTCCTTATGACTTTGTCTACTAGCATTGAAGGCTCAAATATTTAACCTTTACTAACACACACTTTGGAAAGAGTATTTGAATTTGACTATATATCACATCCCATCCGCATCTGCTCAGAGAAAAACCCCAAGCACTGAAAGGGAAACAAAATACCTGCTTTTCACTGTTCTTCTTTTGTACTTCTCTTTCAAACTCATAAAAAATTCTCCGACACTCCTCTAAAGGATCATCTGATTCAGAGAGCTCTGTGTCCTCCCCACTGGGTTCTGCTTCCTCAGCAGATGAACTCACTAGAGTTACATCACTTTCTTTCTTGTTTAAGTAATAAGTTGGATATGGGTATGTATCTTCTGGGCTATCATTACCCCCATTTTCTTCTATGCTCTGGCTTTCATCTATATTTGTAATTATTTCCTTGTAATGTCTTTCAATTGTGGTTTCATTTTTTGATGAGTGACCAGTAGACAAGACAGATTGTGTTACTCTTCTGCTGCTCACACAGTGTTCATTGGTAGTATGCTCCTGAACAAATGCTTCAAGCGCTATATTGGTTTCTGCATTCCCTTGCTTCAAAATTCCCTTCTGCATGTCTGCCTCAATAGAAACAGCTGAAGGTATACATTTCTCCTCAGCATAAGCAAGGGCGTCTCTTTCCTCCAAAAGCTTCAATATATCAGTGTTTACATCAGGCAAATAAGTCTCATTTGCTTTTGGAGAAACATTATCTAGTTTTTCAGATTTATTTAAACTTTTGCCATTCTCCTGCAAAGCGATCATTTTCTCTGATTTTTCTTCTGGACACCCAAGAATGTCTGCTATAGGATTAGCATGTAATTTTTCTGCACATATTACAGCAGCCAGTTCTTTGTCCCTGTTCCTGTTTGTACAGTTCCTACTTATTCTTGGTTTTTTACTAACAGCTTGTGGTGGCACATCAATGACAAGATCACATTCATCATCAGATTCTTGAAGGTTTATTTCAAGTTTCACTGGGGAAGAGTTTCTCAACCTCTTTGTGAATACACATCTACTTCTAAATGGTGACATCTTTGAATTCCCATCCTGATTTTCACATGGAGATACTTCTGTTGGCTTACACTGCTGCTTAGCATTTGCATCCTCATTTGCTACAGAAGAGATAGAGAGACCTGCAAAATAATTTTATAGAAAATTATATTCAAGAACAGTTGCTGGACAACTATAATCAACAACGTAGTTTTCTAATTAAAAAACAACAGCCATTGTTTGTATACCAGGAAACTGAAACCACATGACATGTGCTAAAAAATGCACTACAATGGTTTCCTTAGGAGAAAGTATTTTGCCTTAAGATCATTTTCAAGGGTTAAAGTGTTTATAATCATTTAATTGGGAAGACTGTACTGTGAGGGTTCCTTCTGTTCCTTGATTTCATTCTTGATTGAATGTACTGCTATTTTAACTCTTTCGGGTTTTTGTAAATCATCTGCCTCTCTTTGAGGAAAGACAGCTATGACCTTAATTTAAGTAATCCTAAAATGCAACCTACAGATTTTAGCTGAGGAAAAAGAAATAATCTATTTTATTAATTACGCACAAGACTACAAGTCTCATTGTCCCAAATACCCAGTAACATTTCAAGCCAAGCATATTTATAATTGTGCACAAACTTTAAACAGCCTTGAAAGCTGAATGTTCCAACTGCAGATTTAAGGAATTAACCATTATCTTTTTAGCTTTTACAGGGTGTAGACTGCTTACCAAAACTCAGCCTGACACTTTCTCAAGGCACTATCTCCATCCTCACATGGATATTCTGGCAAATCACAAAATGTAGTGGTTATTACCCTCCCAAAATTTTATTAATTGTATACAGACCCTGTCATGCAAGAGATCCGTTAGCATCAATCGTGTATTTTAACAACAATGCTACTTACATTGCCATTTTAAAACGTGTCACCATTTGATTTCAACAGTGATTGTATCAGAAATTACAAAACATTTCAGGGAATTACTAGAAAGTCACATTTTGTTAGTGAATGGGATCCTTTCCAGGTTACTCAAAAATAAGTAATTTTGGCATTACCACAATAACGATACACCAAAACAGGGCGGTACCACAAAGCCTCACTACCCTGCTGTTGTGGGTTTACCCTGTCTGGCAATTGAGCCCCATGCAGCCGCTCCCTCACTCCCCACTGGTGGGACAGAGGAGAGAATCAGAAGTAAAAGCAAGAAAACTCATGGGTTGAGATAAATACAGTTTAATAGGTAAAGCAAAGCTGTGCACCCGAGCAAAGCAAAATAAGGAATTAATGCACTACTTCCCATCAGCAGGCAGATGTTTACCCACTTCCAGGAAAGCAGGGCTTCATCGTGCCTAACTATTACTTCAAATTGTCTTCCCTTCTTCCTTCTTTCCCCAGCTTTTATTGCCAAGCACAACATCATACGGTTTGGAGTATCCCTTTGGTTAGCCTGGGTCAGCTGCCCTAGCTGTGTCCCTTCCCAATTTCTTGCCCACCCCCAGACTACTCACTGGCAGGGCAGCACGAGAAAGAGAGAAGCCCTTGAGGCTGTGCAAACACTCTTCAGCAATAACTAAAACATAGGTACATTATCAACATTGTTTTGATCAGAAACCCAAAACTTAGCACCATACAGAGCTACAAAGAAAACTGACTCCATCCCAGCCAAAACCAGTACAGCTCTCTACGTCAAAGAAATACTCTGAGCCACTATGAGCTGGTAACTGTTCTTATCAGAAATACTAATAATCTGAGAGAGGTAATGTTTCCCCACCTTTTATACAGGTGAGATACCATTTAGACTATGTAGTAATCTAGGTTATAGGATTATTCTTTGACTAACTAGAGCCTGAGCGAACCTTCAGGGTTCAAGCTTCAAGCTTGCTAGAAATTGCAGAAGCCATGAAGCCATTTAATGATGGATGTTGGTCACTTTGAAAGGAAACACCTATGGACTCAGCCTTCAACAAGACACATCATGCTGCACAGCTAGCTACCTGCAAAATCAGCAAGTGGCAGTCAGGAAGGGAATGACTCCATGCTGGTTTGTTGGGTTTTTTGTTCCCCCCCCTCCCAACTGCCACAGATCTTAGCAACCATCAAATTGTCCCAGTACTTTTTCCAGGCTGCAGTTCTTTATGCTCAAGCACAGAAGTCTTTGAGAAAGAAATAAAACATTACCATTTACAGGTAACTGTTAAAACCCAGGTACTTATTGCGGAAATGAAAGCTCCTGCTGCACAGAAAGAGACTACATACAGCGTGAGAACCTGTACTGTGACTGAAGTTTTGGCACTCCTGAGCTGTGAAGGCAGAAAATCAGCAGCATCTGCTTAAAAAACACAGACATGACAGAGTGAGAGACACTTTGATGGTTCCCTGGATTACATACTTATCAAGCAACTCTTAAAATTACCAATGTAACCCATAGTAAATGACATGGAAGAGACCAACCCAAGCTCAAGGTAATCAGAAAGCAGCTACTTGTTTTTAATTATAAGCTTTTCAAGTCCAGTTTGGAAGCAGGTTGCTTTTTTCATTAACATAGGCTGTTAATATTGATAAGTTTTGTAGTTCCCATTTTAAAGTCGTTTTAGTGCTCTACCCCTCGCCTCTCACACCCGTTTGGCTTTATTGACAACAGTTTGAATGCACTACTATTTCTGCTAATGAGATCTAGCTTACAGTTGTCTGAAAACACTCAGTTGTAAGAGGAACACAACAAACATCAAAAAAGCTAGTTACAAATCTTACTACTCATTACACTTAAGAAGAAAGTGGAGCACCATGGGAGAGACATACTAAAGTTTCAGTAGAAAATGCCAGTTATTCACTGATGTGCAAGCAGGCTCTTTGCAGACTGCTAATCCTGGAAGGAAAGCAAGTGCCTTACAAAGATTAAAAGCAATTCATATTATAACTTCTGCTCTTCATTACAAGGGCTAAAGGTCACGCACCACAAAGGAAAGGCATTATCCTCCCACCAAGAAAGCGAGAAGCCCTCAGTTTCTATTACGCTACCACACAGCGGTTTAAGCAATCCTCCCGAGTCCAGCTTCCTGAAGCCTAACCCCAGGCACAAACACTAGCTGACATTATAATCCTAGTATCGTCACTGCTGTTTGCCAAGGTAGGGGTGTTTAATATTTTTTTTTTCTCCTAAGACCAGAGACAGACCAGGACCGTGAAGACCTCCTACCGTGTCATTTCACTCTTCAGCTCTCTCGTGCGGCACTACAGCTCTTTATTTAATTACCATTCTCAAACGGCAGGAACGAAGCCATGCCCATGCCCACACCTCAGCGCCTGCCAGCACACCGCCACCGCC